ATATACATATACATATACATATACATATACATATACATATACATATAAAGATACATATTTTTAAGGGTCATAGTAAAAGTAAAAGGTCAATTTTGAGTTTGGTCCGTTTTGGAGATTTAGGCTGGGGTGGTTGACCCAAGTGGGAACCTTGGTAGCAGGCTGAATCAATTCAGAAAAGGACCTGCCCTTTATATTCCCTTAATGTAGAAGATAACAGAACCTCTGAGGCCATCTAGTACATCTCCCTTTTTATAGATGGTAAAACTAAGGCCAATGAGATCAGGTAACTTCCTTAGGGTCACACAGGTCATAATTGCCAAAGATTACATTGAGAGTAGTAGGCACTTAAATTAGGGAATGGCTCAACAAGTTATGGCATATGATTGTGATGGAATATTATTATTCTGTAAGAAATGACAAAGTTTCAGAAAAATCTAGGAAGACTTATATGAAGTCAGGCAGAGTGAAGTGATCAGATCCAGGAGAACATTGTGCACAGAAGAAATAGATGTGAAAATTAGACAAAGTTGAATCCTTGACCTCTGACGCATTTGACACTGTTGACTCAGTCTTCCAGTGTACTCTCTCTTATCTGTTTTTAGTACACAGCTCTTTCCTTGTTCTACTTTTACCTGTCTGATCCATTTCAGTTTCTTTTTCTGGGTCTTCTTCTGTGTCCTGCCTTCTATGAGCAGGTTTATCTTGGGGCTCCATCTTGGCCCTTCTCTTTTTACAGTTTTCTCAGAGATCTCATTAGCAATCCTAGATCCAGTTATCATCTAAATTGAGAGAACAATGAAATCTACTTTTCCAGCTCCATTTTCTCTCTTGAGCTCCATTTCCCAGTCACTGTCTACCTAGGGTATATTTCTACCTGGATATTACATAGATCTTTCAAACTCAACATGTTCAAGTTAGAACATATTATCTTTTTCCTTAAACCCACCCCTCTTTTCTGGGCATCTTGATTTCCATCAAGGGCAACTCCTCCCTTTTGAGCCCTTCAATCAGTTGCCTCGTCTTGTCATTACTACTTCCACAACATTTCTAGTATCTGTTTCTCTTTATTCAGAGGGCCACTACCTTGGCTAGACAATTGAAATATCCTTAATAGGTCTCCCTGCCTCTTTCTCCCCTTTTAAATACATCCTCCATATAGCTGCCAAAATAATCTTTCTAAAACACAAGTCTATTCTTTTTACTCCCCTGCTCAAGTAGATTCTGTGACTATTTACTCTGAATATGATAAAAACTTCATTATTTATCATTTAAAGCTGTTCACACTCTGATTCCAGCCTTTCTCTGCCCCAGGCTTTCTGTTTTTTTAACATTTATTTTTAATTTTTTAGTTTTGAATTCTGTCTCTTCTTCCAGCCTCTCCCGGACCCATTGAGAAGGCAAGCTATGATACTTATTATACATGTGAAATCATGCAAAACATTTCCATATAAGTCATGTTGCAAAAAAAAAAAACCGAAACAAGAAAAATAAAGTAAAAAAAAATATGTTTCAATCTGCCTTCAGAGTTATTAGTTTTCTGGAGGTGGATAGCAGTTTTTATCATGAGTCCTTTGGAATTATTATTGGTCATCATATTGATCAGAATAGCTGTCTTTCATGGTTGGTTATTGTTATAATATTGCTGTTAACCATGCACAGTCTTTTCCTGGTTCTGCTCACTTCACTTTGCATGAATTCATGTATGTCTTCCTAGGTTTTTCTGAAATTATTCTCATTGTCATTTCTTATAGTACAATAGTATGCCATCACAATCATACACTACAACTTGTTCAGCCATCTCCTAATTTCCAATTCTTTGCCACCACAAAAAGAGCTGCTATAAATATTTTGCGCATATAGGTCCATTTCCTTTTTCTTGGATCTCTGGGGTACCGACCTAGTAGTGATATTGTCCAACCTGTCTCTCTAGACTGATTTCACATTCCTTGCTTCCCCATCCCCATCTCCATTCCAGCTTATTTGCTGTTCCCCTTGAATTATATTACATTTTCATTCTCTATGCCTCTGCACACACAAATTGCCTCCCATGCCTGGAATACTCTCCTTCCTCATCTTTATCTGTTGAAATCCTTATCTCCCTTCAAGGCCTAGTTCAAGTGCCATCTGCATGAGTTCCTTCTTGATCTCCTCCATTTTTAGTGTGCTCTCTCCCCTTCAATATTACTTTGCATTCATTTTGTGTATATTTTATATTTATTTGCCTGTATAGAGTTGCATAGAGTAGGCACCTGATAATAAATGCTTGTTGAATTGAAGAAAAAGGACTTAAGGTATAAGAACCAAGTCAAAGTTACCTTTGAATTTATAATAATAATGATAGCTAACATTTATATAGTGTTTACTGTGTTATAGGCACTGTGCTGTGTTTTACAGTTATTATCTTATTTGGTCCTCACAACAGCCCTGCAGAGTTGGTGCTATTATCATTACCTCCATTTTACAGATGAGGAAACTGAGGCAAACAGGGTTAAGTGACTTGCCCAGGGTCACACAGCTAGTAAGTGTCTGAGGCCAGATTTGAACTCAGGTCTTCCTGACTCTAGGCCTAGCACTCTCTCCACTGTGCTGCCTAAGGTCATAAGTTTTCTTTTCTTAATAACTTGAAACATTTGAGAGACCCTAAACTTTGGAATGACTTGAGATGCCAGGGTAGAGAACTGGATAATCACCTTTGAAAGGTAATGGTAAGCCAGTAGGAAGACTGTGTTGGAAGAGTGCTGAAATATATCATTGGTTCTCCATAATTATCTTCTGTTCATTTGCTTTCAGGTCCTTTCTTCAGTGCCTAAAGGCTGACAAGTTGAATTGTTAGAGTTGGCCCAGGGAGATTATGTCAGGTCCTTCCAGATCTTGTCCAAGGCCTTGATGTCAGCACTGAATCCTCAAGCATTGGTAGCAGTAGCTCAGAAGACCTTGGGTGTGGGAAAAAGAAGGGGTCCACCTCGAGCAGTCTGCCTGCACCTAGCTGGAGAAGTCAGAGCTGTAGCCATGGGGCTGAAGCCAGCAGTACTGTATGATTGCAATGCTGCAGATGCTGACCAGGTTCAGAGATATGTGGGAGAGCTACAGAGGCTGGGCCTCTTGCTCCAGGCACTGCACATTCTGGAGTTGGGGGAAAACATCCTGATTGTCAATCCTGTGCAAGTGTGTCAGCATATACAGCAGGTGCTGTGCAGCCCTGTGACCTTCGTGGATATTTCAAGCTTCAGATCTCACCCTGCCCTCTGCCCACTTGATGAGCTTGGAGATTTGAAGGACCACTTGGCTGAGATCATGACACATTTACAGAGCCTGGAGGGGAATCCCCTCTTGCCCATCTCCCGAAGTGAGCTCTCTTCTGCTGGCTGGAATCTTTGCACAGTATTTGGGATTCTCCTGGGCTATCCTGTCCCCTATTTTTTCCACCCAGCCCAAGGGGACAGCAATTGTTTGGCCCTGGTTCAACTGCGTGTGTTTACTGCTCAAACTTCATGCTGTTGGCTCACAGGCCTCCCCCAGATTCAGCTCTATTCTTTCAGTGTTCCAGAGAGCTTGTACCCAGCCCTGAAAGACATACTAGACATGTGGGGGGAGGACCTCAGGGCTCGATATGGGGCTCAGGGTGATTTTGTTGACCTTACCATTTCTACTGAGGTTGTCACATTGCCTTCAGTGGTACTGTGATTCTGATCTACTTCTGCCTGGTAGGCACTCAATAAATGGTGATGATTAGCTGTGTGATTATAGGCAATTCCCTTAGCATCTCTGAATGTGATTCCTTATCTGTAAAGTGGGAGTAATAATACTTGCACTGTCTACCTCACAAAGTGGTTGTGAGGAAAAATATGTTATTATTATGAAGTGTGGACACTGGACGGGGGACCGGGCTGTGATGGCAGACACTGTCCTTTCTTTGGTGTCTTGTTTCCTGTCCAATAGAAAGAGGGCAGGAATGATGAGATGGTGGGGAGTGGATTATCTTTTCTGGGGAGAACAGTTTTTGACCCAAGGTATTTTGCTTTTTTTTTATGGTAAACTTGCAAATAACAAACTACAAATTCCACCTATTGTTTGCTTTTTGTTGTGATCTCTGGGGCAAAACTGAAAAAATCTAAATTTTCTTCCATGAGACAGCTGCAGTGTTCCCCCCTCCTCACCCCAACCCCGTTCTCCCAGTATTCTCGTCTTTAGGCTAAACATCTCCAGTTCTTTTGTGTAATCCTTATTTGGTATGAACCCAAGGCTCTTTCACCATCCTAGTGTCCTTTTAGATACTTTGCAGCTCATCAGTGTCCTTCTTAAAATGTGGTTACCAGAAATGAACGTGATACTGCAGATGTGGTCTGACCACATCTAGTGAAGTTACTGGTCAGATGTCATATGTCAGTCAGCAGTACACAGTGCACGCTGGAAAACTGAGGTTATATACAGTCTGGTGGAATTTATTGACATATCCCACAATTAGCCCCTAAAGTAAAACGGTCAGGATCTTCCCCCAGCAGCATGAAAAGGAACAAAACAAAAAACCCTCTTTGAATCTTCCACCACTTCCCTGCCTTTCCTCTCAAGGCGGTTCTCCTTTCCAGCTGTTGCAGGACATTCAGATCACCACGCTTTCTGTGTTGGCCAGAAATGCTGCTAGTGCTGTAGCAATCACTACTATTAGCACAGGGAGCCAACAGCCACATCGTCTCTGAAACGGGGAAATAAATAAATTGGGTGGAGCCTGGATCTTCCTCTCTTTTGGCAGAAGGAAAGCTAAGCCCCATCCTGTTACCTGACACATTGCAGTTTGCCTTGCATTTAAAAAGAAAGGCTTGTAAATGGCCACCAGCCCAGAGGCCTGGGCAGACGTATGGCAGAGCTCTGTTGATAGGATGCTCATGTAAGATTGACCTCATTACAGCTATGCAGTGTTTTATAAAAAAATAGATCAGCAGCATTTACTTTGTCCTCATTCACATTTCCCACGTTTCCTGTCCTCTTCTAGCCATTTCCATTTCTTTTTGGTCCCTCCTTCCCATGTTATTTGTCTCAGAATATTATGCCTGTTATGAATAGGGACTGAATCTGTGATCTTATTGGTAGAGGCAACTCGTGGGTGAAGAAACTCCTTTGATTAATGCAGGTTGGCACCCTCAATGTCTTTTGTAATCTTAGAGAGTTGCCTAGAACACTGAGGCGTTAAGTGACTCATTGATAGTTACACAGCCACTATGTATTAGTGGTAGTACTAGAACACAGGTCTTGACTTCAAGGCCAGTAGATAGGATGTTTTTCATTCTGTAATCCTTTTTTTTTTCCTTCTAGTTTCAGAGTCTCAAGAAATCTAAATGCATAAGAAACAGAAAGGACAAGCTACTGAGATTTTAAACTTCGGTTGGTACCTAATTCTTGGTACCTGGGCCAGCCTTACTCTTTATGTAGCATGTGGTGAAGACAGCGGGACAGAGTAGTTAGATAGTGTGGGCTGGTAAGTTTTATCTGCAGTGAGTTACAGCAGGCATCTTTGGGCTGGAGGGTCAGTGGCAGAGGGTCCCTCATTCTTACTCTGTGGGGTGGCCGTTGACCCCGGTTCAGCTCCTCCCGGCATTGCTGTAGCTTCCTCAGGCAGGAGAGGTACTCATCGCTCAGGCTGTCCAGCTCCGAATGTAACTCTTCACACTGAAGATAGAATAATATGACCAAAGTCGTCGTTACTTCCTTTCCTGTCCTCCCATAATTCACAGTCTTTCTAGGCATTTCCAGTTTTCCTCACGATGTGGCAGCTGCTTTAGGATTTTAAAGAAGGAGCTGGCCATGACTTGGGTCTGGTAATAACAAGAACTGACAGAGCTTTAAGACGTGTACATCAGACATTACTTTTTAAGATTTATTATTTTCCCTGGCATGTGTGTGTGTGTGTGTGCATGCGTGCGCGTGTACGTACACATATATGAGAAACACACCATGGCATCACAGTATAGGGAAAGAACATTGGACTAGGCGTCCAAAGAAACCAATAAATAATTTATATAAGGGTTTATAATTTATAAAGTGCTTTCCTCACTGGGAGGTGGTTAGGACAAGGAGTATTACCAACACCATTTCACAGCTGAGGAAAGTGGCCCTCAGAAAAATGACCTATCCATGATCACACTGTTAGCAAGGGTCAGAGTTAAGATTCTAACTGGATTCCTGCCGTGAGACCTTAGCCGCCTCTCAATGGATCTAGAAGCTTCATGGAAAACTCAATTGTTGTGCAAATGTGAGGCGTTGTGTGACTTAAAGCAGAGGTGTCTGAATGTAATTGGAGAAATATTTAACAAATAAAAATACAATAAAGCATAACATTACATTTAAAAATTAAGTTGAGATGAGGGCCTGCAGGAATCATTATGTGTGATTTAGTGACCTCTTGAAATTAAAGAACCACTTATACAGTACAGGGACTTTTATTGGGCTGAGACATGCGCTTGTGGTTAGCTGGTGAATAGTTCACCTATTTCTGAATTGTGCCGTGAAAACCCAAAGGTTACTGTTGAGAAAAGCTTGGGCTATGTGTCTTGTGTCCTAACAAGGGATTGGTTCAGGAAAATGGAAAGGAAAATGTTAAGGTGTTCATAATTCAAGGAAAAGATGTCTTAAATGACTACCTTTGGGAAGATGCATGTACTTAATTAGGTACAACACCTGAGTTTGAGAATTGTTCTCTTGTCTTATATTGTTACAGAAGCAGCTGAATCTCCTCCCACACAATCGACCCCCTTTCTCACCTCCTTGTCCTTAGCTTGGAACTGCAAAGTCCTCTCTTGCAGCTGATCCCTGAGATTCTTTTCTCTCTCTTCCCCTGAACCCTTGGACTTCTCTTCCAGATGGGTGGGTGCTGAACTCCATGTAGGACAAGTCTGACCTAGAAAATCAGTCAGACCATCTGTGAGCACATTGTCAATGCCTTGGAGAAAGAGGGGGCTGGTCTTTGAGCAATAACAGCCACAAACTTTGGGTTGGGAGGACCTTGCTCTCATCAGGATTCATCTAATAGTCACCTCCATCTTTAAAGGTATCCTATGAAGGAGGCTCCACATCCTTTGTAGTCCTGTTTGGTATCTAACCTGAGTCGTGTTGCTTTGTCTTGAACCTATTCCTTCTTGTTCTGACTTCAGCAGCAATGGCAAATTAGCTGGTCACCTTTAAGAGGTAGCAACTAGCTGGCAAGACATTTGTGCTTTATGGGCTTATGTTTTCTCATCTATAACATGAATGACGTGGCCCAGATAATTTATAAAGACTTTTCTAGTTCTGAGTCTCCTGGTTCCCAAAACGAATCTTCACATATGTGCAGATAATTATTCTAACATCCCTCTGCCTTCTCTTCTTTAGACTGGTTAAAAAAAAAATCCCAAGGGTATAGCATAACATAGTAGAAAGGAGTTTGGAGTTTTGATTTCTTACTTGGGCCTTGCCACCAATAATTGCATGACCAGAAGCAAGTTACTCTCTTCCTCAGTTTCCTAATTTGTAAAATGAGCATCATAATCCTTGCTATTCCTTAAGATGATAAAGTGTTTTGTGTTCCAGCTCTGTACTTCCTAGCTGTCTGCCTTTAGCAAATCACTTAACCTTTAATATCACTGAGATATGAAAGCAACTGGAAAAAAGTTAGGGAGTGCTATATGGATTTAGAGAAAGGTCCTGAAACTGTGATTTTTTTGGTATAGGGAATTCCCTCTACCAATGCAGATGAACAGTTTCTTAGCAACATAGAGTTTTAGAGTTGCGGAGAGCACTGAGAGAGAAGTTAAGTGACTTGCCTAGTATCACACAAGCTAGGATATGTCAGAGGCAGGACTTGAACCTAAGTCTTCATGACTGAGGGTAGCTGCTCTCTACTATGCCACATTGTCTTTTGAATATCTGGCTGTGAGACCCAGTAATTGATTTCCACTCCTTTCTTTTCCTACCCTTTGCCAAGGAGCACCTTCACTTTCTAATTAAGTGGCAGTAGGCAACAGAGTACATGGATTGTTCCATGAGGATTCTGTTGTCAATATCCAGGAATATTTTAGATATTCCTGGGGAGCAAATATCAGCAAATCCTTTAGGATAAGGGGAAAGTTACTCTGGAGGGTTTTCTGGTGTTACTTGGTGGTATGTGGGCAGAGAAGCAGAATTATGGAAGTGGTTTAGGGGATCACAGTCACAACCTCAGTCAAGGGAGTAAGAATTGACATAGGAATCCTGAGTTCAAAATCAATTTATTTTGCATGTTCACCATCATAGATACAGGTTTTCACAGAGAACAGAAATCTCATTTCACAGAGTCTGAACATCTTACTGTCTTAGCAACAGAAGACTTCCTGAAGAGCAGACTAGCTCACTGCTGCACGAGAGTACTTTGAAAATTCTCTTGGTCTAGAGTAATAGAATCCCAGGGCTGGGAAGGGATCTTAAGTAGTCTTCTAGTCCAGCCCTCTGCCTCCAGGCAAACAAGACAATTATAGAAGTCTTAGACTTGGGTGTAGGGAATTGGCTGACCTTTCTGTGGCATAAGTTCCTCTTGGATATGAAGCTGGATGGATTGGCTCTGGAGAAGATCTAAAAAAAAAAACAAACAACAGGATGCTCTGATCTTTTCTAGGCTGAGCATGCTTGCTCCATTGAGTTTCATTTAGGCCCCTTCCTTTGACATGAATGAAGCTCTTCTATTTCTGAATGAGATCTCTAGATGATGCCAGAAGTCATCTAGTCCAACGTCCTCTTTTTTTGGCGAGGCAGTCGGTGTTGAGTGACTTGCCCAAGATCACACAGCTAGTAAGTGTCAAGTGTCTGGGGTCGGATTTGAACTCGGGTCCTCCGGACTCCAAGGCTGGAGCTTTGTCCACTTCACCACCTAACTGCCCCCCTTCTCTCTTTATAGATGAGAAAGTGTGGGTCCATACCTGGTCTTCTGTCCTAGCAGAAAACTACCAGGCTTTGTTCCTGAAGTACTCATAATTAGCAGCATGGCTCTTTCTTTCCAAATGACGCATTTGACCAAGCTCCTCTCAAGCATCCTGACCAAGGACATTTATGCCCTTTCTATTTCTTCTCATCACATCCTCAGTTGAACATATTTACCTGCATAGCTTCTTCTATATGAGTAGCTCTGCTGCCTCTGTTCCCAAGGAAGCATCTAAATGGGACATCCATCTTTTTTTGTTGGGAACGGGATCAAAGATGGTAATGGGGGAGGAGCACTGATTAAAACATGTGTTCTTCAGTTGCTGCCCAGGAGCACCCTACTACCCACAACCTCAGAGAACTACTCTTTAAGGGAAAATGCACATACATACTCAATTGGCAATATAAATCTATCTTACCCAGCCAGGAAGATAGATGGGAAAGGGATAAGAGAAAGGGGGAAATGACAAAAGGGAGGGCAGATAAAAAAAGGCAGTGGTCAGAAGCAACATAGACTTTAGAGGAGAGACAGGATAAAAAGACAGGATAAACAGAAGAAAATAGAATGAAGGAAAATGCACAATTAGTAATCCTAACTGTGAATGGGATGAATTCACCCATAAAAAAATGGAAGCAGATAGTAGAATGAATTAGAAACCAGAATTCAACAATATGTTGTTTACAAGAAATAAAATTAAAGCAGAGAAATACACACAGAGTTAAAATAAGAGGCAGCATCTACTATGCTTCAGCTGAAGTAAAAAAGCAGGGGTAGCAATCATGATCTCAGACAAAGCAAAAGCAAAAATAGGCCTAATTAAAAGGGATAAGCAGGGAAACTACATCTTGCTAAAAGGAACCATGGACAATGAAGTAATATCAATACTAGACTAATACTCACCAAATGACATAGCATTAAAATTATTAGAAGAAAAGGAAATGAATTGCAAGAGGAAATAGATAATAAAACTATACTAGTGAGGGACAAGATAATTCTAACCATAAAATAAATAAGAAAGAAGTCAAGGAAATAAATAGAATCTTAGAAAAGTTAGGTATGATAGGCCTCTGGAGAAAACAATAGAAATAGAAAGGAGCATATCTCTTTCTCAGCTGTACATAGCACCTTCACAAAAACTGGCCATGTATTAAGAAATAAAAACCTCACAATCAAATGTAGAAAAATAGAAATATTAAATGAACGCTTTTCAGACTATAATTCAATGAAAAAGATTTACATTTAAAACACCATGGAAGCATAGGTTAAAAATTAATTGGAAATTAAACAATTTAACCCTAAAGAATGAGTGGGTCAAAGAACAGATCATACAATCAATAATTTGTTGAGGCAATGAAACAACATTTCAAAATTTGTGGGACGCAGTCAAAGTAGTACTTAGGGGAAAATTTTATTTCTAAATGCGTGTATCAATAAAAGAGAGAAATAGCATATCAATGAATTGGGCATGCAACTAAAAAAAAACTAGAAAAAGAACAAATTAAAAATCCCCAATTAAAAACCAAAATGGAAATCCTGAAAAATCAAAGGAGAGATTAAGAAAATTGAAAGAAAAAAAAAAACAAACCATTGAACTGATAAATAAAACTAGGAGCTAGTTTTATGAAAAAAATAGTAAAATAGATAAACCATTGGTTAGTTTGATTTAAAAAAGAAGAAAACCAAATTACTAATATCAAAAAATGAAAAGGGCAAATGCACCACCAATGAAGATGAAATTGAAGCAATTTTTTAGGAGTTATTTTGCTTAATTATATGCCAGTAAAACTGACAATCTAAGCGAAATGGATGAATATTTATGAAAATGTAAACTGCCCAGATAAAATAGAAAAGGAAATAGAATAATTAAATAATCCTATTTTAGAAAAAATCATTAATGAGCTCCATAACAACCTCAGGACTAGAAGAGTTCTACAATTGAATTCTGCCAAACATATAAGAGACAATTAATCCCAATACCATATAAATGATTTGAAAAAATAGGTAAAGGAGTCCTACCAAATTCCTTTTATGACACAAATATAATTTTGATACCTAAACCAGGAAAAGCAAAAACAGAAAAAGAAAACTATAGACCAATTTCCTTAATGAACATTGATGCAACAATTTTAAATAAAATACTAGCAAGGAGATTATAGCAATATTGTACTAGAAATTCTAGTATAGTAATAAGACAAGAAAAAGAAACTGAAAGAATAAAAATAGGCAGTGGGGAAACAAAACTATCAAAAAACTACCAAAGAATTATTTTATAGAGCTGGAAAAAAAATCATAAAATTCATTTGGAAGGACAAAAGGTCAAGAATGTCACGGGAATCAGTGAAACATGTGAAGGAAGACAGCCTAGCAGTTCCAGATTTCAAACAATATTATAAAATGATAATCATCAAAATAATTAGGTACTGGCTAAGAAATTGAGTGGTGGATCAGTGGAATAGATTAGGTACACAATACATAGTAGCAAATGACCATAGTAATCTAGTGTTTGATAAACCCAAAGACCCCAGCTTTTGGGCTAAGAATTCACCATTTGACAAATATTTCTGGGAAAACTGGAAAGCAGTTGGGCAGAAACTAGGTAATAGACCAACATCTCATATCATATACCAATGGATAAATGATTTAAACATAGAGGATGATATCATAAGTAAACCAGGGGAAAAATATGCCTGTCAGATCTGTGGATAAGGGAAGAGTTCATGATCAAGCAAGATAGAAGGATGATAGAAAGTAAAACATAATTTTGATTACATGAAATACAAAAGCTTTTATACAAACAAAACAAATGCAGCCAAAATTAGAAGGAAAACAGGAAACTGCAGAAAAAATTTTTTACAGCAAGTTTCTCTGATTAAGGTTTCATTTCTCAAATACATAAGGAACTGAGCCAAATTTATAAAAAATAAGAGCCATTCCACAGTTGTCAAATGGTTAAAGAATATGAAAAGACACTTTTCAGAAGGAATCAAAGCTATCAATAGTCACATAGAAAAATGCTCTAAATCACTACTGATTAGAGAAATGCACATGAAAACAGCTCTGAGATACCACCTCACACCTGTCACATTGGATAACATTGACAGAAAAGGAAAATGACAAATGCTAGAGGGGATGTGGAAAAATTGGAATAGTAATGCAGTCTTAGTGGAGTTGTAAATTAGTCCAATCATTCTGGAGAACAATTTGGAACTGCCCAAAGGACTATAAAATTTTGTATACCATTTGACCCATACTACTAGATCTGTATTCTGAAGAGATCAAAGAAAAGAGAAAAACGACTTATTTGTACCAATATATTTATAGCAGCTCTTTTTGTGGCACTGAAGAATTGGAAATTGAGAGGTTGCCCATCAATTGGGGAATGGCTGAACAAGTTGTGGTACGTGATTGTGATGGAATACTATTGTACTGTAAGAAATGACAAGGAGGGTAGTTTCAGAAAAACCTAGGAAGAAGTCTAAGAACTCATGCAAAGTGAAATGAGCAGTACTAGGATACCATTGTACCCAGGAATAGCAATATTGTAACAATGATCAACTGCAAAAGACTTAGCTACCATCATCAAGACAATGATCCAAGACAATTCCCAAGGACCCATGATGAAAAATATTTTCCACCCTAGAGGGAAAACTGATGCACTGTGAATGCAGATTAAAGCATACTTAAGAAACCCAAACTTTATTTTTATTGTTTTATTTTGTTTGTGTTTCCTTTTGCAAAATGACTAATATGGAAATGTGTTTTGTACTTCACATGTATTATCACTGTCAAACTGCTTGCCTTCTCAAGGAGGGGGGAAGGGGCAGGAGAGAGTGAGAGAATTTGGAACTCAAAATTAAAAAAAAATGGTTGTTAAAATTTTTTTTTTACTTAATTGGGAAATAGTTAATGAAGTAAATAAAAATATTTTTTAAAAGAAAAATACTCTTTAGATGTGAAGTTATCAAGAGAAGCAAAAAACTGGACTCATGTTCTTTTTTCTTCTGAGGTTTTAGGAGAATACAAGTGAGGCAATCAGGTGGATAGAGTGCTGGGCCAGGAGTCAGGAAGACTCATCTTCTGCGTTGAAATCTGGCCTCAGACACTTACTAGCTGTGTGACCCTGAGCAAGTAATTTAACTCTGTTTGCCTCAGTTTCCTCATCTGTAAAATGAGCTGGAGAAGGAAATGGCAAACCCCTCCAGTATCTTTGCCAAGAAAATGCCAAATGAAGTCACAAAGAGTCAGTCACAACTGAAAAATGACTGAACAACAACAGAGGGAGGGTATAGGAGAGAAGAGGGATAGGGACAGAGACTGGACCTGTGACTCCATTGGTGTGAAGTATTAAACTTTGGGATGAAGAAACTCACCTTCTTTGCAGCTTGTCTAGCATACTTAGATATTAAACAACTTGCTCAGAAACATATAGTAGATATCAGAGATAGGACTTGAATCCAAGTCTTCCGAGTGGGAAGGCCAGCTCTCTATTAATGGGCTTGGGAAGGATGCTTAAGAAGAGTTCAAATGCATCACTTGTAAAGAGTTATGCAATTTATTAATAATTAATAATTATGGGCACTACAAAGACAGGACCTAGTAGCTTTCTGTTACGACAGAAGGCCTAAGTCTGGACCTCAATTTTCTCTCTCTAAGGCAAGAAAGCTGGACTAGAGGACCTCTGTAAGATGATATCTCTCTTATCCCAACATTCCAGTTAGGACCCTGAGGCTGATAAAGTTTGTAAACCTCTGCCTATTTGGGGCTGCCCCTGCCTTATCGATAGCAGATCTTCCAACTCAGCTCTCATCCCCATACATCCCTGGTTTCTGATTCCTGTCCACCAATACCAGTGGCTGCCCAGGCACAAAATCCATTTTCTAGCTACTTCTCCCCAAGCTTGATCCCATCCATGCCATCCTTTTCCCTCTAGTCCCTATGCTTCTCTCCCTTTTTGTCATTGCTACAAGCTCTCTCCTACCCTTCCACGGTGGGAAGTTCCTGACTGCTTTCCAGAAGTGTTCAGCTTTGCATGGGTCTGCATCGTGGAAAACCAGTTGGAGCCTAGCTTCAGATGGCCAGTTTAGGGGGAATTATTTTGTATGGGAATGGGAAGAACTGCAGGATTGGAAGGGAGGACTTACTCTGCAAGTGCTCAACTGTAGCCTTCAGGGCAAGCTTTTCCTCTTCTGACCTTTGTAGTTGCCCTGGAAGTAGAAAAGCACAAGCAAAAAGAGAGAAAAATCTTCAGTGCCAACACATTCAGTCCATGAGACTGGATTTGCTAGAGTGTAACCTTCCTGTAGGCAGGGACCAAGGCCTTTTTTTTCTATCTCCCCCAGAAGCTGAGTACCCTGCACATGTATTAGGTGATTAGTAAATATCTGATAAATTGAATTGGGAATTTACAGTGGCATCTTTTTTGCTGGGAGTTACTGCACTGGTTAAATTCAATAGATGCTGACTTTACCATTCCCTTGTCACATCATGAGGAAAAAAGAATCTGAATACCTCAGATTTAATAAGTAATAGCTAACATTTATATAGATTTTTAAGGTTTTCAAAGTGCTAGTGTTTTCTCATTTGATTTAGCAGCTTCCCACGGGGCTAGCCGGATTAATTACTACAGGTACCCATGATTTGGTCCTCACAGTTGGCATAGCTAGAGTGGGTTCTAAAACTTCATGGAATGTCAGAACTGGCAAGGACATAAAAAGACATTTTATTCAACCTCTCCCTTAGTACAGGAATCCCTTCTAGATTGAGAACCCTTATATCTTCCATGCCTTACCCTTTCCTTTTTCAGCTGAGTGTACAGGTGGTCACAACAAGTTATGTAAGCAACTACAACAGGGCATCCAAAAAGATGACTGGGGATGGGAGTGGAGGATGGTAAGGGGAGAGAAGGTAAGAACTATGGGGGAGGGAAGCTACAAGAGAGATGAGACCTCAAGATTCTTTAATACAGTGGAGCTGTATTTTCAAACCAAGATACAGCCCCATTATTTTTCCCTAATGAAGTTCTGGAACAATACTAATTTAGATTTATATAGCAGTAGTGATATAGTGGATAGAGTGCTGTACTGGGGAGTTCAAGATATGAGTTCAAATTTTGCCTCTGATACTTAGTAACTGCTCACATTCAAGTGACTTGACCTCTCTCAATCAATTTCTTCATCTGTGAAATGGGAATAGTGATAACCCTAGTATCTACTTCACAGAGTTGTTGTGAGATTCAAATGAGAAAATGTATTTTTACAAACTTTAAAACCTTATATAAATCTCAGTTATTATTCTATTCATAATGACCTTGTGAGGTAGATAGTATAGGTATTATTATTCCAACTGCACGGATTGAGAAACTGAGCCTCAGAGAAGTGATCTGTCAGAGACGGGATTCCAAATGTGGCTCGTGTAATTTCAAGTCAACTGTTGTAGTATGTTGCCCTCCCATAAAAAAAAAAAAAAATCACACAAAACAAATGAGTGATAAGTGGTTAGTCAGTCATGACTCTCAGCTCTGGACTGGAATGGTACCTTGCAGGTCGCTGATGTTAGAACAGCCCAGTTCTCTGTCCCCCTGCAGGCGGTCAATCTGTGTCTGGAGGTCCTGGTGTTCACGCTCCAGAAGATGTAGGGCCTGGTTTAGCTGAAAATCTCTGCTGTCTGCTCCCTGCAAGGAGGAGGGACCCCCTCCCAGAGATGAGAGTCAGTGATGGGAGGGGATGAAAAGGTCTGCCTTAACCTGTTCTCATGTCAGATAATCAGAGACTCCTAAAGATGGAAGAGGTTTTTAGCAAAACTAGCAATTCTTGTGCCTAGGGCAAAACCAAAATATTTTGAGAGTGGTGTGGAGAGGCAAAATGGAAAGATGTCAGACCTCAGCTCATAAGGACCATTGGAGGAGAGACCGTGGGTACTGAGGAGGAGAAAGACTTCAAGACACTGCAAGACGACTGGTCCATGACTATGGGGAATGAGAAGGGTGGGGTATAGCCTTTAGGCTAAGTATACTTAGTAACTTGGTACTAAGGTGGGTGATTTCTACCTCCTGAAGGATTATAAGTACTACCCTCTAAATTTTGGCACCTTGGGGCAGATCTCCATTTGTCCTGCCCAAGTTTTAGAGAGCTAGCACTATGGGAAAGAGTAAATACTTCCCTATATTACTAGGAAAATAATCCATGTCACACCAAAGAGAATTAGTTGTTATTCATTCCTTGTTTTCCTTATTTTGCAACCACTACTATTCTGCCTTAAAAAAAAATTAGCAGTTTTGAAGTTGTGTAAAGAGTTAACAACATTTGTTGAGTATCAACGGAGTGTACAGTTCTGTTTGTGCTGAGTTTTGTGTGAGATAGAGTGGGAGAAATACAAAAGAAATAATAAATCCTCTGCTTTTGAGGAGTTGTCAGTCCTCAAAGACAAAGTTTATATAGGCGGAGAGACAGGGCATGCACATAAAATAAATGGAAAATTTATAAGGAAACCTATCAATAACTGAAACTTAATATTCGTGAAAAAGTTGTATAAATACAAAATGCTATATGAACACACTTGTAGGATCTTTGATTTTGTTCTTGTGGTGGTTACTCCTTTCACTAGAGTTGTGCTTAGGGCAGGGTGGCTGGGATTTTGTTCCAGGATGCTGAAATTCAGAGGGCACAACATTTATACTTACACTTACAAAGCATAGGACCAACTGAGGTCAGCATCTAGTTAGTTAAAATAGGAAGCTACTAGATGGCAAGTGTTTCTTCTCTCTAATTGTTGCACATACTCTGATAACCCCATTTCTTAGCAATACTAAAGAATTATTCACATACATCCTTATGAAAATGATAACAACAGAAGCTCATATCTATATAATGCTTTATAATTTAGAAGGCACTTTGCTCCCAGCAGTCCTATGAGACAGGTAATATAAGTGTTATTAGTCCCATTTTGCAGATGAAGAAAGGACTAGTAAGTGGTGGAGGTGGGACTCACATACAGGGTTTCTGGATTCAAGTCCTTTATGCCATGATGCCTTATTTCTGAACTTCCTTGGCCAAGTAAGGGGCCAAGTAGAGGGCATAGAAACCTGGGTATGGGACTGAGAGCAAAATTCCCTTAGTTCAAATCTGTGTTCCCTGGCCTAGGTCCTCCCTCTCTTTCCCCAGATGTCTCTGGCCTGTACCTGCAATTTGGACTGTAGAACATAGAGCTGATTCTCGAGTTCGCTGTGCTTGGCCCCTAGGTCTCTCCAGTCTTCCTTTAAAGTTTCGTACTGCTCCCTCCACTGCTCACATTTGAGCTCAGCCATGGCCAGGGACCTCTGGGGGAGTACAAAGATGGAGAGGGTGACGCCTCAGAATATTCACCTCACCTCCTGTCCTGCCCCTCAATCCAAGCCCTGCCCAGTACCTGAGTGCTCTCCAGCTGCTGTTCAGCAGCTGTTTTCTCCTCCAGCAGTTTCTGCAGAGTCTCTTTTGCCTTTTGCTCATAGCTCTGCTTCTGGTCCTCCATTTCCAGAAGGACCTTTTTTGCACCTTCTTTGGAGTATTTCTGCAAGGGAGAGGGCAAAGCTACCGCTGGTCAGTTATACATACTTTTCCCTCCCAGGTAGTGAGAGCTGGAGTGAGGATGGGGCAGACTACTTTAGATGGACAGGAGGAGGTGAATGGGAGAGAGTAAGGCCTTCTTACCTGACATCCCACTATAGACACAAGAAAGGAGGGATTTGAATCAAATAGGTCTTACAAATCTATGCCTCTCATGTAGTAGTCATTTAACAAATGCTTGTTGATTGACTTTCCTACTGAGGGTGAGTAATGATATACCGCATGAATAAAGAAGATGGATTGCTTTTAGAGTCAGTTATTGATTATTTGCATTAAGTAGATAGTATCTAGGTACAGATAATTCAAAATGCAAGACAATCCTTAAATCCCTTTGTTCTACTTTGAGCACTTACATTTAAAACTGGGTGTGTCTAAGAATTCACAGCATATCAGATCAAATGATGAAACCTCATGGTGAAAAAATACTCAGGAAGAGCTGGTAAGTTTCTAGTTTCTTCATCCTTACCCATTTCCCCCTTTCCCATCCCTCACTTATGCCTAGTGCATGTTAAAAATCTATCAGACTACTGCCAAGTACCACCCTGAATGGAGTTGACCACCCCTCTCCAGCTTGCTTGTTATATGATTAAGTACTTTGCTGTCAAGGAAGGAAACTTCAATTCTCCTTCCCTTTTACACCAGCCAAGGAGTTGCTGATGAGCTGATAGTGTTGCAAAAGAGTTGAAAGCAAGATTGGCCATAGATACACTAAACTGTGAGTGATTTGGAGTTATTCTCCTTCCCTTCCAGGGGCTAGGGCTGGTCTCAGAGTCCCAGTGAGCCAGATATCAGTTTGTCAGACTTCATTAAACGACCCAAACAGTATAATCCTAATATGTCAAAGCTCAGGGCACAAAAATTGTCTGGTTAATATCTGTGTTTATCAAGTGCCTCTCTTTGTGTTTCTAGTTAGATTTCAGGTTTCTCTTGAGCCCATAATATGCTAAGTATTGAGATTCCTTGGAAGGAAAGGAGGAAAGGAGTAAAGAGTGCGGCTAGGGGAGAAGCCTGGGACTCTGCTGAAGAAAGATGCCATCACACAGCGAGGTGAGCCGGAAGGAGTGTCTATCAGTCACATTGGCCCTTCTGAGACACAGGACTGAGCTCACAGACAGGCTTCTCCTTTTACCTGCACTTAAAGGGTCCCTCAGGGCCATTACCTGGGTACAGGTGTGCAGCTGGTTTTCCAGGGATCTCAGTTTGCACTTCAGCTTGTCCTCATTCAGCTGTCCCTGGGGAGAGTAGGGGATGAATGAATGAGAATTCGGGCTGACCTGAAGCCAAGCAAAGAGCTTTTCACCGCTTAGCCAGAGGCTGGGCAGGACAGGGGACAGACAAGGGTTATTGGGACAAGGGTAGCTCTACCTCTCCTCTGGCTGGAGCAATTATAGGAATTAAGTGGATTAATTGCGCTTAACTTTGAAGGTATTAGGGGGTTTGAAGGTATTAGATTCCTGTCTAGTGAGAAATGACTGGCGTCAAAACATATTAAAAGCAGATTTTAAAAAGAGATCTTAGGAGTAGAGTGATCCAGAGGGCCTTTCCTAATGGCACAGATATTGTAGGATCCCATATCCGGGGCTGGAAGGGCACTCAGAGGCCATGGAGTCCGACACACCCATTTTACAGATGAAAAAACAGGTCCACGGAAGTCCAGCGTCTTACTCGAGGTCACACAAGGAGGAAACCGTCATAGGTTAGGTTTGAATCCATGTCCTCTGATTCTAGAACCAAAGTTCTTTCTCCCGTACCACCCTGCCGGACCAAACCCACCTCAAAGGAGGCAAAATTGTGAATTAGGAACCGATGAGCCTTCTTTCTCTTTTGGTGCTCCACTTCCCACTTCTGCCTTGCTGCTCATTCCCACCGGGCAGCCTGTATTTCATTCTAGCTTCTGGGGCCTTAATCTTTAGCAAAGGTGTTAACTATTAACCTCTGTTAACACTCAAGATATTAACCCTCCCAGAACAATACCAATTTCCCTAGGCAGCTCTTGAGGGGGCAGCTAGGTGGTGCAATGGGTAGAGCACCCAGCCTGGAGTCTGAGTTCAAATGTGACCTCATTCACTAACTACTTATGTGGCCTTGGACAAGTCACTTCACCCTGTTTGCCTCAGTTGCCTCATCTGTAAAATGAGCTGGAAAAGGAAATGGCAAACTACTCCAGAATCTTTGCCAAGAAAACCCCAAATGGGGTCACAAAGAGTTGGACACAACTGAAAAAATGACTGAACAGCAACAGGTGGCTCTTGAATATTGAAAAGCCTTTATGACCCCTAGAAATGAATTTTTCATTTTTGGGGGAGATACAGGCTTGAGACATCACCAAAATTACATCACATTAGAGCAATAAAATCAAACTCAAATAGAAATGGAGCCCTGCAGGCCATGTATTAACTTAGAAAAAAACAAATCAACATTATCTATGTTTTATTGTATTTTCATTTATTTTGCTAAACATTTTCCAATTACATTTTAATATGGTTCTGGCCACTCTTGGGAGTTTTGCAGGTTGCAAGGACTTTGACACCTCTGCATTAGAGGTCTCCTATTCCACCTATTTATAGGGTGGCCCCATCTGGTGATTCATTGGAAATTCAAAGAGAAAAGTTACCTCCGAGGGTGGGAGTGGAGAAGGATGAGGGGAATGTATATCCATTTCGTGAGAACTATTTTTGTCTAGCATTCCTTAATGATGCTGCGTACAAATTTTAGGACTCCCACAACTAAATTATGAATCTAGAGGCATTTGGGACCCTTAAGGATAATTTAATCCAGCCCCCATATATTACAGGTGAGGAGATTCAGACCCATCGAGGGAGAGTGACTTACCCATGGTCACATAGATGGTGTTAGGGGTGGGATTCTAACCCAAGTCCTCTGCTTTTAGAGTCAGCCCTAGTGTACCACATTGAGCCCCCATGATCCCTATTTGGGGCTCTAATAAAGTAGCAACATTTTTTCTAACTTGGTCTTTGGTCCTCTCAATTTCCCCACACCTTTTGACTTGTCAGTTTCATCCCTACTGAGGATTTTTCTGCTTTTCTGACATTGGACGTCATCTCTGGAAGACTCTTTATGCAGATTAATGATAAGGCATAATGGATAGAATGTCACCCTTATAGCTGGAAGACCTGGGTTCAGGTTCTGCCATTGACAAGCCTGCCTGTGAGACCCTAAACAAGTCTGTTAATTGAAGAGCAGGCACTGTTCTGCATTGTAAATGAAATCACAAGTTAGGTTAGTTCCACTGCCAGGGAAAAAACCAAACCCTAAACAAACCCCAATAAAACCTTATCTTCCAGAGAAAAAAGCTATCTGTGGTAATTACTAATTGCTCAAGGCTTCATACTCCAGCCTCTCCAAGCCTACCCTCAACTGCATTTCTAAAGCCCTTGTGGGCCATTCATCACATTCTCAACCTTGTCTCCTGCAGTTAGCTTCTACAAATAATCTAGGTTTATTTCTCATCCACAACCCACCTGGCTTTCCTGGTTTAATCCCAGGCTGCAGTGAGTTAGGAAAGGGTAGAATGGGGATCTCTTTTCTGCCTTGGACACTCCTCTCCACCCAAATTCCCCTTCTCTATCTATCTCCACCTCTATCCAACAGCAGAACATCAAAGCATCAGTGAGATATTTCCTCTCCAGTTGAGATACTCTTCTCCTTTCTGGTCTTCTCCTTCCCCTAAAGTAGCATCTTTCATCTTCCATTTTGATCTTCACTAGTGGTCTCTCTTCTAACCAACAGGAACCCCACCCTCTGTCCTTCCTGTCTTACATTTGTAACTTTCAACAACAACAGAAAATGATTTGTTGAAACGAAGCAAAACAAAAACTTCACTTCTGTTTTTTTTTTCCTTCTCTCTTCTAAATGCTTCATCCGGGCTTCTAAAGCCAATGGATAGATAGAACAATGAGCAAGGAATTTTATTGTTCCAGGTATGTTTGGCTTCTCCAAGAGCAGCTCACCAGTAGAGTATGAGGTCCTTAATTACAGCCTCCTGAGAATTCATTTATCCTTTGTGGAACCAAATGCATTCATGGAATCATAGGTTATTAGCCCCAGAAGAGAAAGCAAGGATCATCTAGTCCAAGCCCCTCATTTTATAGATGAAGAAACCAAATCTTAGGGAATGAAGTGACTTCTCCAAGGTCACACAGCATGTTAGTGTAAGCCAGGATTTATTGAGTGCAGTCTTAAGCTTTTTCTATTATTCTCTGGCTTCTCTGTATACTGACCATGTAAGATACAACCATATTTGACCCAAGTATAAAGTTTACCAGGAGAACAATGTGAGGACAAAGGAGAACTGGGGTGAGTTCTTCCCTCTTTCTCCCTTGCTATTTACCAATTCAAACAATGCCCTTGTGCTGGTGCTCTTTCCCTATTTTTTCTTTATTTTAAGTAAATTTTTAATGATATATTTTGTTTTTACATTGCCTAAATTTCCCCCATGTCATTCCCCTGAAAATTATTCTTCTTCTCCTTCTTTTTTTTTTATTACCAGACAGTGGGGTTAAGTGACTTGCCCAGGGTCACACAGCTGGTAAGTGTTATATATCTGAGGCCGGATTTGAACTCAGGTCCTCCTGACTCCAGGACCAGTGCTCTATCCACTGTGTCACCTAGCTGTATTCTTAATAAAAAAAAACCCAAAAGATGTAGATAATCATAACAGACAAAATAGACAATTTCAGTTACAGTAATATAAAAAACTTTCATACAAACAGAATCAATGCATCTAGAAGAGAAATTATTATGAAAAATTCCTTGCCTCAAACATCTCAGACAAAAGTCTGATATTCAAGATATATAGGGAATTAACAGACACATGAAAGAACAAAAGTCATTCCTTAACAGATAAGTGGTCAAAGAATATAAATAGTTTAAAAAAAGGAATGAAATCTAATAATAATATATGAAAGAATGTTCCAAACTAGAGCTGTCAAACTCCTAGCCCACAAGTTACTGCCTTCAAAAATCCCAAGTGCTTCTTCAACCATGTTAAAATGTAATTAGGAAATATTTAACAAAATAAATAAAATACAACACAACACAGATAATGTTAACTTGAGGTTTTCTAAGGCAATATGCTACCAGCAGGGATCCATTTCTATTTGAATTTGATACCACTGCTCTAAACCATTAACAAAAGAAAAGCAAATTAAAACAATCCTGATGTTTTACCTCACACTAGCAAATTGGTAAAGATGATAAAAAACAGAAATAGTCAATATGGAAGGAGCTATGGGAAGACAGGCATACTAATTAATTGTTGGGAGAAAATTATTTGGAATTATGAGAGAAAAATCACCGAAATGTTCTTTTGATCCATCAAAATTCATACCCTTTGACCTAAGAAGGTCAAAGACAAAAGGAAAGGTACTATATATACACCAAACTATTCATCCTCATACTTTTTGTGGCCAAAAAAAAAATTTGAAACAAAAAACAGCTTCCCGTTGTTTGGGTAATAAATGTAGTATAGGAAGGCAATGATATATATCCTTGTACTGTAAGAAGCAATGAATACTGACAATTTTATAGGAATATGAAAGACTTGTATGAACTGATGCAGTTGAGAAGGTGGAATCAGGAGAACCATATACCTGTGACTACAGTAATCTAAATAACAAAGTTAAAAGGCAGCTGAATTCTTGATTAAATGCAAGTACCAACTTTACTTTGTTTACAGAAATGGACAATAAAACTTATCTCATACCTCATACCCTCATGAGGGTGGGGTGGAGGAGTAAGGGAAGTTGGGGTTACCGGTGTGAAATGTTGCCTATGATGTCAAATGGGATCTTTTTTGCTTTTCTTTCATTTTAAGGAAAGTCTTAGTGGGGGATGGGGAGAAAAAAGTTGTCCTAAAAAAAGCTGTCCTAGAAGTTGTCACCCTACCTATTCTAAGGAAAAGTATCTAATATTAGTTACTTATGCTGAATGTGAATTTAATTTAATGCGTTAACTCTCCCACCCTTATTTGCATTTAAAAATCTGATCTGTCTTTTATAGGATCATAGAATTTGGCACTAGCAGGCACCACCTTAGAGAGCTAGTCCAATCCCTTCATCTAACAGATGAAGAAACTGAGGCCCAAGGAGGTAAAAGTGTTCAAAGGTCACATAAGTAGTAAATAGCTGTGATATCATTCAAATCCAGGTCCTGTTACTCCAGATTCCGTCTTCCTTTGGCAATGATGTTAGGTCTGGAAGAGACCTCAAGC